TTATTATATAAGTGAACATATAACCTCTATAAAATACTCCTGTAATATTAAAAAAATATTTATGATATTTTCGAAATATTATAATAACATTATTTTAATTTTTTTTAATAATATTCATGTAACATTCTAGGAACATTTTGCGCTTATAGGGTAAATACATGGAATTTTGAGGAGTTTCTCAATTTTGGGGTTTCGTGTCATTTGTAAAATTCATGATGATGATTTTAATTTTATTCCGAAATTTCGAATTGTATCCGCTAATGCACTCGATAAGTGATTCAAGTAGAATTGTCAGTACTTGTATAATAATAAGTTACGGTAATCCAGAGTAAGAGTAACACTTTGAGATAATTCGAGTGATTCGAGCTTCCTATAATAAGAAACTTATTGCGCGCGTTTGTCTTTCGTGCGTAAATAGATTTAAAAAATGCTGTCCATATAATGTTTGATAAAAATTGTTACTTATATCGCACAATAGTCGTAATTGAATCATTCTTTCGTTATTTGAATTCTTTGTCAGAGAAACTGTATTAATCGAACAAATTCAGCGCGTCTCTTTCTTCGTCGAGTTGGCTTTTAATCTGCAGAGTATAACCTATATTACTTTTCTATCGCTCTATATCGACGGAGATTTGTCCACATTAAATAATAACAGGACCTTTTATTTATTTTATATTTCCAATCTATATAACTTTTAAACGCTTGTTCTGAAATAATTTGGAGCTTTCTCTTTTCATTGTGTGCTGCAACCTCTTACAAAGATGATGCTTTCCAACCTGAGGAACTGTACGTTGTGCTTATAATCATATAAAAAATTTAAATCGATCGCTTATGTAATATATTACAAATTATGTGAATACCCAATATCCTTTTTTAATTTAACAGATCCCTTTCACTCGAATTAAGCATACATATACTAGACACGTTTAGTAATATAATTTATTTCTCTTACTTCTTTTTCTCTCTTTGTTACTGGCTTGTATTATAGCTTTTCTCAGCTTTTTTTTTAGAAATCATTTGTCGTATACGTAGTGCGCTTGATATATTTATGGAATATCGTTTACATTAATGAAATGATATAAAGAAATGAAGCTGTTTGTGAGTCTTACTTATCAGAGGTACATTTGAGAGACCAGTTAGAGAGGCCGGCTTTCATATTTGGCGGCCAATTAGTAAATACTCCCGGGATTGACATTGCGCGAGAAGAACCCAGATTTGTCACAATTCGTTACAATTGTTATGTTGTGCAGGAAAACTCGAGTGTCGCGGTTGTCGCGATTGTCGCAATCATCGCGTTGCGACAAGGTAAACATTGCCGATGATACACGAAGACGTATTCGCCAGATCGCGTGCGTGTTGGAAGAAAGGCTGTTGCTGTCGAACCGAACGAAAATATGGTTCGTTACGCGTTGCCCAAGCGGAAGGAAGAGAAGGATACGAACGTCATTTGCGCTGACCACAATTACCTCCGTGAGTAGATATCGAACCAAGATCATTGGGGCTCGTAGACGATTCCTAACGAGCTGATATTCCAACGTGTCTGTGCCGATATTCGAAAAGCTAAAAGAAGCGACATGCTGTTCAAAACATCTAAATTTTAATGCGCAAGTAAGCGCACTTAGCAAATCTCACTTGGCAAATACAGACGCGTTGTAAACCAAACTCCTTCGAATTATACATTGTTTTAGACGTGCGCGAGATACGATCGCGGTAGGCAGCTGTTGAAATTCTAGCGGAGATGCAATCTCGTTAGTAAGTACGAACGTATTAACGTAACGACTCTAATACGTTCGGCAAAGCGAGCTCCGTCGCTTGTCCTAGCTTCGCGTACCTCGGTACCACTTTGAGATAGTCTCGAGAATCGCCTCTCGTGACTCTCATCCCGTTTGTGAAAAGCTTACTGTCGAATTGATTGTGAGTCGTCGACCGTTCTCGAACGATCAACTATGGATAAATCGCACAAACAGTGATTAGTCTTTCTAATTTCCGATTGAAAATGGATCGATCGAATATCCGAGCCTCTAGGACATTGGCGTGTTTGCGAACAAGTACGAATTCGCCGCTGTTTTCCTCTCTCGAGGAGTTACACGACAAATTAACGGAGCTCTTAGGTAAATTCTTCAATTCACCGTTGAGAATGAAAATTTTTAAATTTTAAATATTCAACCAGATCTATTCTAAAGAATCGTCAAATATCCCCTTCAGTCGTGAAACGACCTCTCTCCTTGGAACTAGTGTTTCTGATGGTGTACTAATAAAATACGTATAATATGTCGTGGATACGCCACTCCACGTAATATGTTTTTACAAAATTATCTTTGTTTTGACGGGTATCGTTTGTTATTGCATCAACAAGTCGTTCGCGATTAAGAGTCACCTCCTTGGTCTATTACATTATTATGTACGATCGAAAACGTAACAGTTCCTCGTCGAAAATATCGAAACTTTTTGCAAAAATAATTTCTCTCTGAAAATAGTTTTCATATATCTTTGACACGTAAACAATTAATGCACACTCCTTGTTACACGTTATTAAGATATTTTGATATGGATGAAATGTGGATTAATTTTTTTCTCGAGACAGCAAGGAGGGAAGAGAGAGAGCTGTCTAATTAAACAGCGACTGCTGTATATGTAGTCGTGAGTACAAGTACGATGAATTACTGGCTGTTTCACCTTTTTTTGCGAATGCAAAGAGACAGAACGTTCCAGGGCGTGCATTTCTCTCTCTGTGATAAAAGAAAATAGATGTGTATCTCTCTCCCACATCGGTTAATATTTTTTACAAAAGAGTCATTCTGAAATGTTTACATTTTGTGTTGAAAGCTTGAAAGTTGGACCGTCTACTTAATCCTCAAGTCCTCTAAGCTCCTCTAAAGGATCCTTTAAAAGATTTGTAACGTAAATTATAATCGGGACAATTTTTTTATCTCGATAAATTGCGTTACTTTTAACACGTGCTATAATTTATGGCGTCGCGTTTTTGTACGTTTTTGTACGGAAAAGATTCCCGCGGTCTTTATGTTTATCCGAATCGATTACAATCATCCTATCCGATGCTGGATCGGAGTGGTTGACCGATCATAAATAATCGAACGTCGGTGCAGAGAAAAAGAAAGATAATTTTCAAATTTGCCGCGTAGCGTGGATTCGCGCTGCGTCGCGCGTTCTCGGCCATCCTCGTCTATTCGGCGCAGACTCTGCGCGGGCGACTCTTCACGTTGCCGAGTATCGCCGAGCTGCGCCGAGCTGCGCCGAGCATCGTGCGTAAAGATGGTGGTTCTGGTTACCGCGGAGCGGAGCCAAGCGGAGCCGCGGAAGTAACGAAACCTGGTTGCGCAGTGACGTCACGCCATAGTCGCACATAGTCGTGTTGTGCAGTTATGCGCCTGTGAACTTCCGCCATTGAGAGCAGCCACGTTACGCCGAGAGCGGTTTATGGGACGGTGGTTAACCGGAAATATGTGACAGAGGATCGGTGACGGACGGCCCGGATCTCGCGCAATCTCGCGTGTTTCTCGCGTAGCGAACGATCTCCTCGTCGCCGGCGTGGTGCCGCGTGCGCGCGCGCGCGCGGACGTGTCCTGAGAGCCGTGAGACTGAGAGAACGTATACGGTATACCCCGTACTGGTGTACACTCTCGCCCGCGCCGTTGGGCCATCACACTTGGGGCCCCGTATCAACGCGCTCTCCGCTTAGCGTGTCCAGTTTCCTCGTGTGTCGTGTCGATCGAGATGGCCGGTAAGTAGTGCTCCAGCTACCGTGGCTCTTGATAAGCCGGCGCATACCGCGCATATCTCATCGCCGCCAACGACGCGCGACGGGCTACGGCGCGTTGCTGCTCCTGCTCCTGCTAGGCGCCTCGCCTCCTCGCCTCTTCGCCTCCTCGCTTTGCTGCAGCGAGGTGAACCTTGACCCAGATTAGGGACGCGCCGCTCGAGTGTCCTCGTCCTCTCGCGTTTCTCTTCGCGTAATAGCGTATCATTTGCGCCCGTACTCCGGATTCTCCTCGTGCGCGTGGAGGGGGGCAGATACCTATGTGCCCGTCGCCGGTGACGACGACAACAACAGCGTCGGCGGCGGCGTCGACGGCGACGACGACGGCGGCGGCTGCGTTGACGGCGGCGGTGGTGGTGGCGGTGGCGGCAGCGGCGGTGGCGGCGGTAGCGGTGGTGGTGGTGGTGGCGGCGACGGCGGCAACGGCGGCCTAGAAACACGATGGATTACGCCGAAACTTCAAGTAGGCTCACTTTTATCTCTCTTCCCGCCTCGTCTATTCCGCAATTGTATCAATTTTCGTGCGACCTACGCAGGAGGACTTTGTACCGGCCATCTTCATCCGTATCCCCCTCATTTCTTTCCTCTTTATTGCTCAGTCTTGTACAGTGTTTCCCAAGTGACTCCATCAGGACTAACTATTTTCCAACAAATGATTTCTTTACTTGGTTCCTTGTTTGTAGACATATCTACCTTTCGAGTTCTAAGTAATGCCTCACAACTTTCATGTTTTTTTGTGAAATTCTGGGGAACGCCATCAACGGCGAATTAAATTGAGAAGTGCTGCCATGATAACGATGACGATGATGATAATGATAATGATGGTATGATGATGATGATGAAGATGATGATGATGATGATGATGGTGATGGTGATAGTGATGATGATGATGATGATAATGATGATAATGATGATGATGATGATAATGATGATGATGATGATGATGATGATGATGATGCGATGCATTCGTTTGTGTTCCATGCCACAGATGCACAGCAGTAGTATCCTAGGATAGCAACTATTTTACTTTGCTCCTTTCAACTTGATATGCCATGACCTGCGCTATTCATTTCTGTCTCTCTCCTTTCCTTGCTTCAAGTCATGCATCTATTTTGTATATATTAGTGTTTTTAATTTCATCAAAGGCTTTACGAAATAACGAATTATGTTACTTTTCTCCACTTCTTGCTATAACGTGAACATTTCTGATTTTGGTTTGGATTGGGAATATGCCTTCATATATATGTATATATATGTATACACATATATATAAAGATATTAACAAATTGTGTTTTGTACAACTTTTGATTTCTTTATATAGATTGTATAAATCATATGGTTTTTCGTGCACATATATATATAGCTTATTTTCTATGCGTAAACATTCAATCTTAAACTTTTTCTTAAATTCAAGTCTTATTCTATAAATATTAGGATTATATGTATTATGCAACATATTTCATTTTTCACTTCCATTTCTTTTGTTTATCTGTTACGATTTTAATTGATCTTGACTAAAATGCACTAATTTCTCTGATTAAGACACAAAATACGATCGATTATTCCAAAATGTAATTATTATTACCATTCGTTAATTACATCAATATCTGAGACAAATGAGCAATAAGAGGAAGATATTTCGTTTTAAAATTACTTTATATTTATTATATTGCAGGCAATGGTGACATACAGTGGTGTTTCTCACAAGTAAAGGGGACCTTAGAGGACGACGTTACGGAAGGCAAGTTTGACCTGTGTTTGCATAGCTTCAGAAAGAGAGAGAGAGAGAGAGAGAGAGAGAGAGAGAGAGAGAAGCATCTTGTCTTTTATCTTATCAGTTTAAACATACTAAAATAAAACAAACAACTAGTCGCGAATCACGATTTTGCATATGCATCAAGGTCCAAAATTTATCTCACATAGTAAAATTCATTCTTTTAGTTTACCGTTCATTAATACGTGATTACGTCAAGGTTTTTTGCAAGTTTTGTTATATACTGTACAAAATCATTTATAAATATGAGTATTATGTTTTTTATTACAGCTGATATAATCTCATGTGTTGAATTTAACCACGATGGTGATCTCCTTGCGACGGGAGACAAGGGTGGACGCGTTGTCATTTTTCAGAGAGACCCTATTGTAAGTTCAGTTGTGATTATACAATTTAAAAGAGATAAATTTCAAATAAATATTTCCTCTTTAAAATATGCATTATTCAAACAATCCAATTATCACGCTTAACGATTAACAATTATGTATTTAATTTGCATCTAATTTGTGACGAAGTAATATATATCATATATCAGAGCTGGGATTTAGTTGCACATTTCGGCCGATTTTCAGCTTGGTTCCTGTCCCTTACCTCACCAACCCGCGCGGGGTTGGATAGGAACCAAGCTGAAAATCGGCCGAAATGTGAAACTAAATCCCAGCTCTATCATATATGATGCATCTTATAATATATTAAATTTAAGTATAATTTGATGTTAAGAAAGAATAAAATTCCTACATTTACAAGATTTCGTATTATCATCTTACATATGAATTGATGTTAGAGATTTGGCTTATGTATTTCTATCATCTTTACATTAAAGCTTATGTAACATTTAATATTCTCGTATCTGTTTGATCTTCTATTGGGTCAAATAGCTCTTCACTAAGTCTGTTAAAGATATCGTGTTTGAGAGCTTATACCATGGTATTAATCAAGATTAGATGGACATTATAAGATTAGATATTTTCAAGCGTGATATTCGGATTGTTACAACTGAATTTATTAAGTTAAAATAGTTTTGTGTGTGTGTGTCTATGTGTGTAAAATTAATGATTAATGAATTATGAAGATAATTGTTTACACAGAGTAAAAACAGTATACCACGAAGAGGCGAATACAATGTGTATAGCACTTTCCAGAGCCACGAGCCAGAGTTCGATTACCTAAAATCATTAGAAATAGAAGAAAAAATTAATAAAATTAGGTGGTTAAAAAGAAAGAATCCTGCCCACTTTTTACTCTCCACGAACGATAAAACAATCAAGTTATGGAAGGTTAGTGAGAGAGATAAAAGAGTGGAGGGATATAATACAAAAGAGGAGAATGGCACGATACGTGATCCTGCCTGCATCACTGCCTTGAGGGTAAGAGATTCTGGGTATATCTTATTCTAGATTTATTGGTATTGTTGCAAATGCGCAATGATAACAGTAATTTTTAATTACTGTTGCATAGGTGCCAACCATAAAACCAATGGAGTTGATGGTAGAGGCATCACCAAGGAGAATATTTGCCAATGCGCACACCTATCATATAAACAGTATAAGTGTCAACAGTGATCAAGAGACATACCTCAGTGCTGATGATCTTAGAATTAATCTTTGGCACCTTGAGATAACTGACCAGAGTTTTAGTATCCTTTTTTTCTTTATAATCACGTATCAGTTTATTATTTTTTTTTTTTACAAAAAATGATATTTTTTGCGATATTCTGAAATATTAATTTTGATAGATATATAATTAGATAGCTTTTCAGATGTATAATTTTCCTAACCATAGCATACAGATATAGTAGATATTAAGCCAACTAATATGGAAGAGTTAACGGAAGTCATAACTGCGGCGGAATTTCATCCTGCAGAGTGTAACGTGTTGGTGTACAGCAGTAGCAAAGGAACTATTAGACTTTGCGATATGAGATCTGCTGCTCTCTGCGATCAGCACAGTAAGCTTTTCGAGGAGCCTGAAGATCCGACTAATAGAAGTTTTTTCTCAGAAATTATTTCAAGCATAAGCGATGTAAAGCTCAGTAATTCTGGAAGATATATGATCAGTAGAGACTACCTCAGCGTGAAAGTGTGGGATTTGCAAATGGAGACAAAACCAATCGAATGTTATCCTGTAAGTTTATATATTTATAAGAAAAGCGATATATATCTTATAGAGAGGAAACTTAATATGCCATTGTCGCATTCTCCATTTTTTTTTTGTTACAATCTTCTGTTTCATTCGAGATGAATGCCTCCTACTTTATAGCAGGAGATATACTTTATATATAATTTTTTGTTACATCAGGTACACGAATACTTAAGATCAAAATTATGTTCATTATATGAAAATGACTGCATCTTTGACAAATTTGAATGTTGTTGGAGTGGTAATGATTCTGCGATTATGACGGGCTCATACAACAATTTCTTCAGAGTATTTGATCGTACGACTAAACGCGATCTTACTTTGGAAGCAGCACGCGACATTGCCAAACCAAAAACGCTTCTGAAACCAAGAAAGGTTAGCATATTTTGTGAGATCTTGTTTTATTCATAAGTCATCGTCGAGTATTGTATATCGACTTATGCTCTCAAATACTTATTCTTCCATGCGATTGCATAGGTATGCACCGGTGGTAAACGCAAGAAGGATGAGATTAGTGTCGACTGTCTGGACTTTAATAAGAAAATACTTCACACTGCGTGGCATCCATCTGAAAATGTGGTGGCTGTCGCTGCTACGAACAATCTCTTCCTATTCCAAGACAAACTCTAGCATATCTGTATGCAAGTATGTGAATAATTTCAATTGAATATTAGCCAGAGAGGATCAGAGGTGCTGGAAATTATAAAAATTGTAATGCTTGTATGATTTGTACGTAACGTATATATAAACTGATTTTCTCTAGATTATACAACGGTATATATTGACGTGAGCTAGGCACGTTGAACTGAAAACTCCCAGTGGAACCACGGGTGTCTGAGTAATAGTGACGATAGTCGACTGCTAGTCTGTCAGTGGTTGACTGACCGAGGAGTGGTGTACGTAGCGCCGTCCACGCAGCTCACATTCATACATGCTATATACACATAGACATACCAGGATTGTGCACTCCATACTTTGTTGCGTGCATATGTGTATGTGAAAAGAGATGTGCAAACGCGAAACACACGCATAACTCTCCAGGCTATCAATAAATTCGCTAGCTCAAATACATTCGCAGTTGAAAAAGAAATACGCATTCGATAGAATATGTGATTCAACCAATTCGCAGACTCGTGTTGGCAGTTGATATATGACTTATAAATACTAATGATTAGTAATTTTTTGCTTGTATTATAAAAATTGTGCCATTGCACAGTGTAGTCTATATGTGACTTACCTATGCTACAGACTACCAGGGTGTTTGATTATCGCATTAATGAACAGGCGACGATGTGAGTAGAGCGGGTGTATGGATTACGAGCCGCTCTCGCTGCGGTTTATGTACAATTTATATAAATATGTGGTACAAACTTTGAGTTTTCCTTAACTGATATGTCTGACTAGCATAAAAAAAGGAATAAAAAAAAACGAAAGGGGTCAGCCGTACCAATGAGCAAAATCTGTAACTTTTGTATTGTAATTTTATTTATTGTTACGCGGCATTTGAATTACGAAACTTAAATTGTGAAAAAAAGAATACGCGATAGTTGTCGAAGCAAATTTTCATCCTATAAATACCTTTGCAAATAATAATCGACTCGTATGTTGCTGACCTCGATATAAGAATACAAAGTAAGTAAATAAGATTTACGAATAGTTTTGTGCTTGTAGAATCGAAATACTGACAGTTACCACTATTCGCCTTTCAGTAAAATAACCCGTGTCTACAGTATTTGTCTACCATTTGCAATTCGGTACCACACTTGTTAAACGTGCATACGCGCAGGCCTACTTTCTCATTAGTTTATTATTCTCACGAACTAATTGTTTGTCTCAGTCGCCAATACGAGTCAAAAAATGATGCTAGAAAGTATGATATATATAAGCCGGTACCTTTCCTTATATTACATATATCTGGAAAAACCAAATGTTGCTGCACTAAATATACACCAAGCAATAAGAGGCGCCGATTTAAGACAATGTATAATAAAGTATCAATTGTCATTTTCTAAAAAGAAATCGTATACCCCGATCGGGAGATAAACAAAAATCGCATAGATATGGAGTACAGATTTTCTAATCTTTCTTAATAACTTATCGACACTCTTATACTCCTACAGATATAAGCAGCAATTTCGTACATGGATAAAATAAACCTAAAAGTGCATTTGTGACGATGGTAAGCTGGGCTTGCAGAGTTTATACATAAATAAAATATTTGCTGAATAATGTACACCAACATAATGTAACTTTGATAAATATCCAAATCAGAGAACAAAGTATTCATGTTTTTAACTCACACGCATTTTCTATCATCTTTTTATCATTTAATTTCCATATACATATACATACACGTACACGTCGATTAATTATGCTGCGACAATTATTCATCATATTCTAAAACTATCAAGCATTGATATATATATAATATCGATGTGTACACAGCAAAACATTGATATTAATATTAATAAAATGTATAATATGATATTGACACGGAAAGGAACATATGTATATACATCGGCGATTTAGTAAAATAATGTAATATGACACAGCAACAAAAATAATAGAAATAATGAAAAATGAATCGACATATACATACGAACCATGTTCTATACATTTATTTTCAACGTTGAATCGTCTGAAAACAATCCATATATACATCAGAATTTCAAGTATAACACGTTAAATTGTGTGCGTTTCATAATCTATATTCAAATTTTACAATTATTTGTATGTGTATTTTTTTTACGAGATAATTGAATCATTTATAATATTTCAAAAGAGATTTTTATTAAAAGATCTTTATTTTTTTTTAAGAGAAGAAAGAAAAAAGATAGAAAAAAATTTTTATCGAGGCGAACGTCATATCACGACCAGCAAAGACGTTTTTTTACATTGCGTGTGAGTTTGAAATATGAATTGTAACGTATGTATGTGTATGTGTAATTATGTGTGTATGTATATATATATATATATATACACACATACATATCAATATATATACACACACAATATAAATCTATTTCTAAAACAAACTATTAGCATTGAAAAAACTGCTTCGTGATAACGTAAGAATAAAGTTGCAGATTTATATAGACAAGATTAAAATATAATGAAAAAATATATGCACATGGAATGTAATTTTTTATGGTAATAAAAATAACGCGCGAATGCTTCTTCATTGGACGAATTGCTTAGACGATCATCGATCTATAGAAATACGCGAAAAGTTTAATATTAATAAGTTTGATGTACAAATCATTTTGGAATATTGAAAAAGTAATTTTGAGGATCTCTTAATTGTCGATTTGTGGGAATGTGGGTGAAAACAAAGAGCGAATAGTTTTTTAAAAAAGGATAATACGACGATCATCAGGTTAAATCTTAAAGTTGATCTGATAAAACTCGTCATTAAGATCGTGTTTTAAATTAATTTTTTAAAATGATATTGACAATTTCTTTAGAAGTCTGCATAATTAATTGACAATTAAAATATTACAAGGCGTGTGAAAAATCGTTTGAATCATACTTCGAATCGATTCATTATTCATTACTCATTTAAGCGATTTCATTTAGGTATCGTTTAAGTTACGACGACAAAGACTCTTTGGATACCTTGTGCGCTGTTTCCAGAGCCAATAAATTGCGTATTATTACGTTTCTTGTAATTCAGTCTTCTTCTTTAATTCCTTGATACGTGCGAATAAAAATATACAATATATGCCGGATGTAAATACCCTTGTAAGATGTATTTACAAATGTACGAAATTGTGTGATCCATGATCTATATCTATGTACGTAATATTACTACGTACACACATTACTGAATTTATTAGGCGATCAAGATTGAAAAATGGCACGATTCATCGATATATGAGCGCGGTCTTTGGGGGACGGCCCTATTGATTGACGAAAACAACATGAACTGCTCCACAGACTTCGTCGTTTTACAATGTTAACAACGTCAACAACTAAACATGCATCACAATCACGACAAACAACGACACATCGTATTCGTGGACCACGGGATGGGATTTTAATCGACATATCGGCACTAATGATCATAATGAGAATCTTGGGGAGCACGCAAGACCTACCTCTATATGATAACTGATAACAAAAGTTGTATCGCGCTAGCTGAAGAGAGGTTCTATTTTTATTAACACCATTGTGAATAATCCGAATATAAAATTTTTTTATAACAAACTGTCGATTCGGAGCAAGGTTTTTCAAGCGTAACGCGTGCATCCTCTAAGAGAGGGAGAGGAGAAAAAGAATACCACTGATATATTGATCTTACGTAAAAGAGAAGACAAAACTGCGTCGTCGACAGAGTACGAGACATTTATTTATACATTACATCGATGTATAACATAACGTGACAGAGATGAGAGGGAAGAACAATAAATTACTGTACATATAAGTACAAATCATGTCTTCGTTGTTACGATTCTCCCTAGCACTGTCTCGCGAAAAACTCATTGCATTGCATTGCGTGGCATCGTAATTCTTATGAAAAAGAGAACAATGTAAGATAAGTAGCTCTACTACAAAAGTCTCCTGATCAATCAAAAATAATTCCTCCTGATCAATAAAAAAATAATTCCTTTTTGTTTATTGATGCGATTAATCGACAACGGATCAAACGGGTGACAAGACCGACAAGCTGCAGATCACAATAAAATGAGGTGAAAGGAGGATGCAAATAACGGTATTACAATATGAATGTATGAACAGTGATCCAGTTTGTCCGTATGACCAGTGAGATGCGATCAAAAAGACGCAAATGAGACACGAAGAAATGAGAACTTGGTAAGTATCGACCCTCGTGCCTTCGAGCTATTCGTCGATTCGAGTTATTCAGAGTCACTTATTGTAATTGGCGATCGCCAAGTCACTGCGGTCAGGTGCGGCGTGTCGCACCATGACGAAATGTGACCTGTGATTTGACTTCTCTTCTCGACCGTTGGCCATTGGTAAGTTTCGCTCGTCGTTGCAAACTCTTCTCTCTCTCCCTCCCTCGACTTCTTCGGTGAAGCGTGGTGAAGCACGCTAAAGAGGCATGTTTTTTTATCCGCGATTTTTAGATTAGACACAGGCATCCAAACTATTCAAAATAGAAATCCGAAGCAATTACTCATTGTTCCTCGTTCTCATTATTTCGAGATTATTTCGATTTTCAACGATATACAGAGGTTATGTTATCCGTTGGTGGTATTAGCCTCGTTCTCTCTTATTTGCTCTATTCGACTATTATCATATTTATAATATTCAGTCAACGCGCGCCAACGATTTTCTTTCTATTCGTTTAAATGTAACGAGTCGCATGTATGGGACAACTGGCAAATTTAATGTGATCCTGTCACACGATCGATCAATGACATTGGACATGTATTCATTAAACCATCTATATTAAACATGTATACGTATAATATATATAGCAAAATTTTGATTTTCGAGATAGAGGCGATAATATAAAATCGTTTACGAAATAAATTATATATGCATATTACAGTAGACAAAGAGGCAGAGAAAGAGGACTAGAACGTGTCAGAAAGTGCTAAAAGGGAGAAGAAGGGAAGGGAGAGGAGTTGAGCTGGAATGAGCGAGCAAACACGAATGAGAATTTATAGATTTGTTTTCTATTCCTGCACTAGAACTCTTTTTCTCGTTTTCGACAAAAATATCAAACATATACCTCTCTTTCTCATTTTAAGTTCCAAAAGTGTACACTAGTTCAGCCACAGAAAACAGATCTTATGTGATGTGTCATGATAATGATAACAGCAGAGAGAAACCTGGTAATAATAATAATAATAATAAGATTTGATACGTATTTTTAAGTGGATTCCAATGACACATGAGATTAATTTTGTGCAATCTAAATTAATCAAGAATGCAATTACTAGTATGCTTTTGCTGTGCAGTGTGATATGTGTAATGTTTTGACAGATATTATAACCTAAAATTAGTACATGTATCAAACACTAGATTTGCATTGCTGCAGCAGACAAATTTTTAGTACAATTTTCAATGTGATTCTGCATGCATTTATATATTTCACATTGATCAGCATATCATTCAAATCAGCATATCATTCAAATTGAAAGCATTCTTTCAACTTGAAAAAAATTGGTGAAAAGTACTTTGAAAATCTTCTTTTCTTATTTTTTGTTTGAAGATATCTCTTTGTGGATTAATATAAATAATATTAATCCTTCTATGGGAGGATGGGATGTGACCCCCGGCTTCGTTTATTTTAGTACATTGTTTAATAGAGAAAGAAATTTTATGTCATTTTAATTTTATAATATATTATTTACTTCTTTCTATCCATTTTGTTATATTAATTAGATGAAATATTATTAAAACAGCATCAAGTCGGATCCAATCCTACTTATCTTGAAAATTCATTTTGATTTATTTTACTATAGGAGGGTTAATTATAATTGTTACTTTATATATATATGTATGTATAGGTCTGGCCTTTGTACGATTCCATAACGGAATGCTGCTTCCATATTTGAAACTGAGGCGTGTATAAAACGTCTTCCTCGAACTTTCCCTTGAACGGCACTAGCAAGATGGATACTTCAGTACGGGAAAGCATTCTCAGCTTTGCTGATATTGTAATGAGAGTGCCGCCTTTATTTATCATGGATGAGTTACTCAGAATTAGCCTTGGTTTACCCAATGACAATATTATACTGGAAAGTAATGAATATGATTTTAAAACTACCAATTTGTCAAGCATTGCTAGTTCCATTTCTGCAGTTACAAGAGATTCGTTTCTAATGGATCAGCTTGATTTTACTCATCTTGCTTACAAAGCTTACCTGATAATCATGTTTAAATTTTTATGTTGTTGTATAGGTAAGTAATATACTTTACTATACTTTTTATAATTTTAGTAAATTTTCTAAGCGAATCCGATTTTTTTTCTCAAGGAAAAAAGCCTGTAGTCAAGTTAATTTGCCAAGTTGCTTTTTGCATTTGAGACATATGTAAATCCTACTGTAATAAAAATTGCTGTTTCATTGCAAAAATTAAAAAAACCTCTTATAAAAAATTAATGCATTTGATGAATTTTTTGCAGTATTGATTTGAATAAATAAATTGATGTAATATACCATTTTCTTTCAGGTTTTCTTGCAGCCTTGTACACATTCGTGTTATTTACTAGACGTTTGATAATTGTATACTTATATTTAATATCTATAGGAGTAATA